GAGTGCTCGAGGCAGAGCTGCAGGAACCGGGCCTGCGTCCTCGTGACCCGTTTGAGCAGCGCCAGCAGAGCCACCGTCTGCTCGCACTCGCTCCAGCCCCGGAACCACCCGGCCACGATCCCCACCTGGTCCCGGAACATCATGGCTGGGGGGGCGCTGGGGGGGCCCTGCCCCCCCTCACGTGCCGGGGGGGCCCCCCCGGGCCGGGCAGCACATGGGGGGCTGTGTGGGGGGGTCCCGAGGGCCCCCCGGCTGCGATGGTGCCACCCCAGAGGAGCCTGCGGAGAGAGGGGACACGGGGGGGTTAGGGATGGGGGGTGTAGGGTCTGGGACCCCCCCACGGGAAACAGGGACCCTCCGACAGGACCAGGGATGCCCAAAAGGGTCCCCCCCCCAAGGGGAACAAGGACCCCCACCAAGGACGAAGACTTCCCCTAAACCACGGACCCCCCCAAAAAGGGGAGAGAGATCCCCCCACTGGAAACAGAGACCCCCCACCAAGGACCAGGAATTTCCCCCGGTGACGACAGACACCCCCGAATGGGGACAGGGACGCTCCCCACGACCCCCCACCCGGGGCACAGGGACCCCCCAGGGTGGGCACGGGGACCCCCCAGCAGGGACAAGAGATCCTCCCCGAGATCAGGAACCCCGCACAGGGCCCGGGGACCCCGCACAGGGCCCGGGGACCCCGCACAGGGATCGGGGACCCTCGTGAGGAACCACGGACCCCCCACGACCCCCCCGGTCACCAGGACCCTCCACACCCCCTCAGCACGCCCGCACCCCTTCTCCCCCGTCCCCCGTGTCGCCCCCGGGACTCCCAAACCCCCGTCGGGGATGGTGGGGAGGGCGAGGGCGCAGACACTGGCGGGGGCCGGGGCCGGCCCAGGGCGCCGTGGCGGTGCCGGGGGTGTGCCGGGGGTGCCCCGGGGTGTCCCGGCGGGTCACGAGGGGCTTTGGGGGGGTCCCGGGGGGTCCCGGGGGTCGCGGCCGCCCCTCACTCACCGCCCGCCGCAGCCGCGCAACGTCAGCGCGCACGGCACGCACGGTACGCACGGCGCGGCGTGGCTGCGTCACCGCCCGCGCGACCAATGGGAAGCGCGGAGCGGGCGCGAGGACAGCGCGAGCGCGGCCACGCCCCCGCCCCGAGTGAGGCCGCGCCCCTCGCCGCGGTTGGACCAATGGAAGCCTCGAGACGCGGCGACGGCCACGCCCCCTCTGTCGATCAGGAGGCCACGCCCTCCTCATCTCAGTCCACGCCCACAGCTGCGTTAGCCCCGCCCCTCCTGCTGGCCCCGCCCCCACCGGGTTTCGCGCGGGGCTTGAAGGGGTGGGGCCTGCTGGGGGTGTGGCTTGAAGGGGCGGGGTCGGGGTCCGGGAACCTCCCTAGTGTGTCCCAGTGTCCCTCCAGTTTGTCCCAGTGTCCCCCCAGTTTGTCCCAGTGTCCCTCCAGTTTGTCCCAGTGGCCCCCCAGTTTGTCCCAGTGTCCCCTTCAGTTTGTCCCAGTGGCCCCCCAGTTTGTCCCAGTGTTCCCTTCAGTTTGTCCCAGTGTCCCTCCAGTTTGTCCCAGTGGCCCCCCAGTTTGTCCCAGTGTCCCTCCAGTTTGTCCCAGTGGCCCCCTCAGTTTGTCCCAGTGACCCCCCAGTTTGTCCCAGTGTCCCCTTCAGTTTGTCCCAGTGTCCCTCCAGTTTGTCCCAGTGGCCCCCCAGTTTGTCCCAGTGTCCCTCCAGTTTGTCCCAGTGGCCCCCATTGTCCCCCCAGTGTGTCTCAATGCCTCTCCAGTGTGTCCCAGTGTCCCTCCAGTGTGTCCCACGTCCCCCCAGTGTCCCCATTATGTCCCAGTGTCCCTCCAGTGTGTCCCATGTCCCCCCAGTGTCCTCCATTATGTCCCAGTGCCCCTCCAGTGTGTCCCATGTCCCCCCAGTGTCCCCCATTATGTCCCAGTGCCCCTCCAGTGCCCACCAGTTCCCCCAGTGTGTCCCAGTGTCCCTCTGGAGATGGAGAGACAGACAGGGCAGGGAGGGCAGATCCCGGCCCATCTGTGTCTGTGTGTCCATCCGTGAGTCCGTGTGTCTGTCTGTGTGTTTGTCTGTCCATCCATGAGTCTGTGTGTCTGTCCCTGTGTCCATCCCTGTGTCTGTGTGTCCGTGTGTCCATCCCTGTGTCCATCCCTGTGTCTGTGTGTCCGTCCCTGTGTCCATCCCTGTGTCTGTGTGTCCGTCCCTGTGTCCATCCCTGTGTCTGTGTGTCCGTGTGTCCGTCCGTGTCTCCCTGTGTCTGTGTGTCCGTGTGTCTGTCCCTGTGTCCATCCCTGTGTCTGTGTCTCTGCGTGTCCGTGTGTCAGTCCGTGAGTGGGCACACGGCTCAGTCCCTGTGTCCGTGCGTCCATGGCTGTCTGTGTCTGTGTGTCCGTGGCTGTGTCCATGTGTCCGTGTGTCAGTCCATGAGTGGGTACACGGTCAGTCCGCGTGTCCCTGTGTCTGTCCCTGTGTCTGTCTGCGTGTCCGTGTGTCTGTCTGTGGGTCTGTGTGTCGCTCCATGGGTTGGTCCAGGGGTCTGTTTGTGTGTCCCTGTGTCCGTGGGTCCATCCCCGTGTCCGTGGGTCCGTCCCCGGGTCCGTCCCTCCCCTCTCCTCCCCTCCCTCCCCTCCCCGCCCCGCCCGGCCCCGCCCCGGCGCTTCTGCGGCTCCAGCGGCGGCCGCGGCCTTTGGGGCGGCGGGTCCGGGGCTGCTCAGGGCCCCCGGCCTGGGGACCCCCTCCCGGGACCCCCTCCCAACACCGCCACCGCGGCCCCCTGCAAATCCGGGATCCACCCGAATCCATCCCGGATCCATCCCGGATCCATCACAGATCCATCCCCGGATCCATCCCCGGATCCATCCCCGGATCCATCCCGGTCCTCCCCGCGCTTCCCGGGATCCATCCCCGCATCCCGGTCTCTCCATCCCGGTCCACCCCCCAAACCCCCTTCCCCCATCGCGGTCCCCCCTTCCCGTATCCCGGTGCTTCCCCCAGCTACGGTACCGACATCCCCCGCCCCTCCCCACCCCCGTTACCGCCAGGCCCCGAGCCCCCTCGGAACCCCCAGAGCCTCCCCGGTGCTCCCCTGTGGTCCCCATGGCCCCCGGTAGGGCGAGGCCCGACCCCCGGAGCAGTGATGGGAACGTCCGTGGGCTGAGCCCCCAGGTACCTCCGGGGGTCGCACGAGGGGAGGGAAGGGAGGGGGAATTGGGAGGCACAGGAGGGGGGGCTCTGGGCGGTGCTGGGTCGTACTGGGATGTACTGGGCCATACTGGGCTGTGCTGGGCTGTGCTGGGCCAGACAGGGCTGGACTGGGCGGTGCTGGGGCTGTATTGGCTTGTACTGGGCTTTACCGGGTTGTGTTGTCCTGTACTGGGATGTACTGGGTCATACTGGTTTGTGCTGGGCTATACTGGGTCATACTGGTCTGTGCTGTCATGCAGCGGCCTGTACTGGGCCATACTGGGCTGCACTGGGCCCAGCTGCCCTGTAGTAGCCTGGCCTGGGCCTTGCTGGACTGTACTGGGCCATACTGGGCTGGGCTGTCCTGGGTCTGTATTTGGTCTATATTGGTACGTACTGGTCTGTACTGGGCTGTGACATATCTGTGGTAGCGTGTATTGGGCCACACTGGGCTGTGCTGGGCTGTACTGGGATTTACTGCTCTGTACTGGGCCACACTGGGCTGTTGGGCTGTACTGGGTTGTACTGGGCTATACTGGGATGTACTGGGCCTGTACTGGGATATGCTGAGTCTTACTGGATCATGCTGGACCATACCGGTCTGGACTGGGTCTGGACTCGGCTGTGCTGCCCCGTACTGGTCTGTACTGGTCCATACTTGGCTGTGAACTCCTGTGCTCGTCCATACTGGGCCGTGCTGGGTTCTATGGGGCCACACTGGAATGTGCTGGATCAGACTGGGCTGTACTGGGTCATGCAGGGCCATCCTTGGCCATACTGGGCTGTGATGGCCTCTACTGGTTTCTACTGGGCTGTACTGGTTTGTACTGGTCCATGCTGGGCTGTGCAGCTTGTACAGGCTCCCACTGGGCTACACTGGGTTCTACTGGGCCATACTGGGCTATGCTGGGCCTCATTAGACCCATGGATGGGTCATGGATGCTCTGGGATATGAGCAGGGGATACTGGTCTGGACTGGGCTGAACTGGGCAATACTGGTGGGGTGTGTGGAGCCGTACCAGGCCATACTGGGCTGTGTGCTGCTGTACTGGTCTGTACTGGTGGATAGATATGGGTCCATACTGGTCCGTACTGGCCCCTCCCCTGTCCCCACAGGCCCCGCGGTGACGCCCAGACGGGACCAACATGGAGCCCTGAGAGGAGGTAATGGGATCACTGGGATCTCCCTGGAGCTGATGGGAACACACAGGATCACTGGGGTCACTGGGATCACTGGGATCTCCCTGGAGCTGATGGGAAACACAAGGATCACTGGGGTCACTGGGATCACTGGGATCTCCCTGGAGCTGATGGAACACAGGATCACTGGGATCCCATGGGAACACACAGAGTACATGGGATCTCATGGGACAAATGGCATCTCATGGGGTCTTTTGGGATCTCGTGGGATCTCCTGGGTCAGGCGACACCCCACGGAAACACACTGGGCATGTGGGGTGCGCCAGGATTCCAAGGGATCTCAAGGGGATCTGAGGGGATCTGGTGTGATCCGACAGGTCCGGGTGGGATCTGACACATCCTGGGAGGCCGGGCAGGGTCCCCCGACCCCTCCAGCACCCCCTGACCGCCGTCTCCCCCTCGCAGGCGCCGCCGTGGGATGGCGAAGCTGCTGGTGCCGCTGGTGGTGCTGGGGGCGGTGGCGGGCGGGGCCCCCCCGGCCGCCCCCCGGTGCCCCCCGCGCTGCCTGTGCCCGGCGGCGGCGCCGAGCCCGACGCTGCTCTGCGCCCGCACGGGGCTGCTGGCGGTGCCGCCCAGCCTGGACCGGGGGGCCGTGGAGCTGCGCTTGGCCGACAACTTCATCGGCGCCGTGGGCCGTGCCGACTTCGCCAACATGAGCTCGCTGGTGCACCTGACGCTGTCGCGGAACGGGCTGCGCCGCCTGGCCCCCGGCGCCTTCGCCGACCTGCGCGCCCTGCGCGCGCTGCACCTCGACGGCAACCGGCTGCCGGCGCTCAGCGGGCCCCAGCTCCGCGGGCTGGCCAGCCTGCGCCACCTCATCCTGGCCAACAACCAGCTGGCCACCATCGACGCCGCCGCCTTCGCCGCCTTCGCCGCCACCGTGGAGGACCTGGACCTGTCGCACAACAACCTGCCGGCGCTGCCCTGGGACGCCGTGGCCGCCATGGCCAGCCTGGCCACGCTCACGCTGGACCACAACCTGCTGGAGCGGGTGCCGGCGGGCGCCGTCGCGCGGCTGCCGCGGCTGGCGCGGCTCGACCTCACGGCCAACCGGCTGCGGGCGCTGCCGCCCGTGCCGGGTCCGCCGGGGCCGGCGCTGGCGGCCGGGGGGAACCCCCTGCACTGCAACTGCGAGCTGCTGTGGCTGAGGCGCGTGGCGCAGCCGGGGCGCCTGGAGACCTGCGCCACTCCGGCGCCGCTGGCCGGGCGACTGCTGGGCGCCGTGCCCGAGGAGGAGCTCACGTGCCGGGCTCCCGCCGTCACCGCCGCGGCCGCCCACCCGCCCGCCGTCACCGAGGGGCAGCCGCTGCGCCTGGGCTGCGCTGCCGTCGGGGACCCCCGCCCGCACTGCACTGGCTGGGCCCCGACGGGCGCGTGGTGCACAACGGCTCTCGGCGCTCCGTGGGCGCCGACGGCTCCCTGGAGCTGCGCGTGGCCACCCTGCGCGACCACGGCGGCTTCACCTGCGTGGCCGCCAACGCCGCGGGAGAGGCGGCCGCACGCGTCGACGTCGTGGTGGTGCCGCTGCCGGTGCCACGCAGGGAGCGCGATGGAGACGACCCTGAGCTCGGGCCCGGCCCCTCTGACATGGCCAGGGCAGGGGGCAACGAGACCTTTGGGGGGGGGGTGCCCGGGGAGCGGCGGGTGGTGGCGGCCGAGGTGACGGGGTCCTCGGCACGCATCCGGTGGCTCCCCCAGCGCCACGTGCCCGGAGTCCGGATGGTGCAGATCCAGTACAACAGCTCGGCCGACGACGCCCTCGTCTACAGGTGGGGGCTCCTGGGGGGAGGGGGGGTCCTGGGAGGTTGAGGGGGTCATGGGACAGCCTGGGGCCTCTGTGGGCAGGGTTCAAGGGCGTCTTGGGGTGTCCTGGGGGGCTCTGGGTGGTCCCAGGGGTGAACAGGGAGGTCATGGAAGGGTTTGGGGGTTTTCCAGAGGGCCTGGGGGTCCCACACGGGGCTCTGGGAGGTCCTGGAGGGCTGTGGGAGGAGGCAGAGCAAGTGGGTTTTGGAGTGTCCTGGGGGTTCTGGACAGTCTTTGAGGGGCCCTGGGGAGCTCTGGGAGGCTTCTGAGGGGGGGTTAGGGGGGGTTAGGGCATCTGCGGGTGTTCTGGGGGTTCTGGAGAGTCTTTGAGGGGTCTTGGGGGGCTTCTGGGGAGATCTTTGAAAGGTCCTATGGAGGATCAGGGGGATCACAGGGGAGTCTTTGAGGAGTCCGGGGGGGTGGTTGAGGAGGTCTCTGGGGCTTTTTGAGGGGGTTTAAAGGTGTCTCTGTGGAGTCCTGCAGGTCTCTGGGGGGGCTCAGGGGGGTCTTGGGGAGAGGGGGTCACACCCTCCCGACTCCCCCCAGGCTGCTGCCCCCCTCCACCCGCACCTTCGTGCTGCGGGACTTGGCCCCGGGGCGCCTCTACGAGCTCTGCGTGTCCGCGCTGCACGTGGCCGGGGACCCCCCGCCGCCCTCGCCCCCTCGGCTGCGTCTCCTTCGCCACCGCCGCCGCCCCCCCGGGCTGCGCCGCCCCCCCTCGGCCCCACTTCTTGGGGGGCACCGTCATCATCGTCATCGGCGCCGCCATCGCCGCCTCCGTGCTCGTCTTCATCCTCATCCTCACGGCGCGCTGGAAGGCGGCGGGGGCGCGGCGACCCCCGCCCGCGCTCACCAGCGTCTGCTCCCAGACCAACGGCGGCCCCCGGCCCGCGGAGACCTTCGAGCTGCCCCCGCTGCCCCCTCCGCCGCCCGGGCCCGGGGGGGCACTCCGGGAGAGCCCCGGGGGAGGTCCCGGGCTCGGAGGGTCCCGGGGGTTGTTCCCCAGCCACAGTTACCCCCGGCGAGCGCGCCCCCGACGCCACGGCTCCCTCCCGCGGCTGGACGCGCCCGAGGGTACCCCCCTGGGGCCCCCCCTGCGCCCCTCCTTCGGCAGCACCCACTGGATGCTGGAGAGCACCGTGTGACGGGGAGGGGGGGCGGTTGGACCCCCGCCGGGACCAACCCCCGCCCCTCGTTCGGCAGCAGCCACCGGCTGGGGGGCGGTGGGGGCAAAAGGGGGCTATGGGGGTGCTGCGGGGGGCTCGGGTCGACCCCCAGGGTGTCCTGGTGCAGCTCTGGGTGCTCCTGGGGACCCCCGGGTGGTCCTGGGTGACCAAAGGCGCCCCTGGGTGCTCGTAGGGACCCTGGGGGCGGCCCTGGGGACCCCTCAGGTGCTCCTGGGAGTCCCAACGCCCCTCCGGTGCCCCCTTGGGTGCCCGCACGCAGCCCCGGCCCCCCCGGGGACCCCGTGTGCCATCGGGACCCTGCAAGCGTCCCCTGGATCCCCCTCCCGCTCCGGGGGCACCTGTATGCAACCCTGACCCCCCCGTGGGCACCCGGGGGGGGACCCACACCTGGGACTTGTGTGCGCCCCGACACGCGAGGGGGGAGTCTGGAAACTTGTTCCCCCTGCCCCCTCCAAGCCTGGGGCAGGACAGCCCCCGGGAGTCTGTGACAAGCGTGTGTCCCCTCCCCATGCCCCCCGCAGGACACACACCTGGGACATGTGTGTGCGCCCCAAAATGTGTGTGCCCCCCCCCCAAGACACGCGTGGGGGGGGGTGTCCCCGGCACTCGCGTGTGCCCCCCTCTCCCAGCCACGCGTGTGCCCGGCGCGCCCCCCCCGCGGTGCCTTCGGCCGGGCCGGCGGGGCCAGGGGGGCCCCGCACACGCCACTGACATGTCTGCACAGATGACACGAGACCCGCAGCCCCCCAAATCCCCCCGGGGAGGGGGCAAAGGGGGGGGCTCCCAGGAGGCCTGGGCCCCCTCCCCGATGTGTCCCTTTCCCTCCCCCCCGTGGCCTCTGAACCCCCAACTCGGCCCGGGGGCTCCTATCTGGCTGGTCTGGATAACCCTGGGGGGGCCCCCCCAGCCCCCCCATTCTCATTTCCCCCCTCCTCGCTGCCCCAACCTTCCCCCGTTTGCCCGCCCTCCGAAAACCACCACCCCCAGTTTTCCCCGCCAGCCGCCCCTGGCCCCCGCAGTGTTTAACACGAGTTTTTACATTAAAAACCTGTGGCCCCCCCGGGGCAGAAACACGTCTGTGAATGGGCGGGGGGCGGTGTCTTGGGGGGCCCCTCGGGCGGAAGGGGTCTCCTGTGTCTGATGGTGGGCCAGCCCTGTCTGGGGGGGTCCTCTGTGTGCTAGGTGGGGTCCCTTGTCTGTTGTTGGGGGTCTCTGCCTGGAGGGGTTCCCTCTGACCACACAGGGGGGTTTCAAGCCCCCTCCCCGAGACTCCCCAACCCCGTCCGCCCCTCCCGCCATGTAGGCGGGGCCGAGATATGCTAATGAGGCATCAATCCCCGCTCCTCCCTGGGGTTGCCATGGAGACCTCCGAGGGGAGATCGGCGGTGCCGTGACAGGGCGCGGCGTCGACTCATTAATATGCAAATGAAGGCGGGGCCACCGCTTGTGGGGCACAAGGGCCCCATCCCGGCCTTGGGTGGGGGGGACACAACAAGCGGGTCACCTGGGTCCCTTCCCAGAGGGGGTGGGGGGAGGTCCTGATGGGGACAGAACACCTGGGGCCCTCTCTGGGATTGGGAGTGGTCCCAGACACTTGGGTCCTTTCTAGAGGGCTGCACACTTTGGGAGGTCCTGATCCCATCCTGGGTGGGCTGCAAACTTCGGGGGGTCCCAGGGGGCTGGAGGGGGGGCACAGGACACCTGTGTCCCTTTCCATGAGGGGTGTGCCATGACCTTGGGAACACTCACACACCTGTGTGCTTTCCATGTCCCTTCCTGGGGGTGGGGGGGGTGTGGAATGTGCACACCTGTGTTCCCTCCCAGGTGTGTCCCCGCCCACCCCCTGTGGCCTTGGGGGCTCAGGTATATCCAGGGGGCCTTCGGTGCCCGGGAGGCCTCAGCGATGGCGTCGATGCTGCTGGTGACACTGGTGGCCTTGGTGGCCGTGCTGGGTGGGGGGGTGGAGGCCCAGTGCCCTGCCCCCGCCGACCTGCGCACCGACAACGGCACCCGGATCTGCGCCCAGCTCTACAAGGACGACAGCCCCTACTACGACCAGTGCTGCGCTGGCGACGTGCTGGTGGTGGAGCCCAACAGCGACGTGCCCTACATGCCCCGTGGGTGGTCCGGCCAAGCGTCCTCCCTCGTGGTGGGCACCCGCTGCGAGCTCAGCGTGTGGTCACGCAGGGGCAAGAGGGGCAACACGCGGCGCTTCAGCGCCGGCGCGGTGCCGCGGCTGCAGGAGGTGCGCCGGGGGCTCTTCGGAGACTGGAACGACGAAATCCGCGGGTACTACTGCACCTGCAAGTGAGGGCGTGGCCGCGCGGGCAGGGGGGCAGAACCAGGGGGGACAACGTGTCAACGTGGGCCAACGCGAGTCAACGCGAGTCAACGTGGGCCAAGACACAGCAACGCGGGCCAACACATGACAACGGAGGCCAAGACAAGTCAACCTCGGCCAATGTGAGTCAACACAAGCCAACGTGGGCCATGCCCCGCCCCTTGTGAGCCCACACGTGTCCCATGGACCGACACGTGTCGACACTGCCATGACCTGTCCCTGCCCCCTCTCCTGCAGCCAATAAAGCCCTGAGGCAGCAGCAGCTCCTGCCTGGGGGTTGTTTTATTGGGGGGGTCACCAGCCCTCCCTCCCGGGGGTCTTTGAGTGGGGAGAAGGGGGATCCCCACACCCCACAGGCCGATTCCCCATTTCCCCCAGTGGGGATGCAGGGGGTGCCCGCAGGTGTGTCCCCCATGCAAAGAACCACACGGTACACGGGGGACTCCAAAAGGACACGTGTAATTTGGGGGGGCCCCGTGTCCCCCCTGGGGCCCCCCCATCCCGTGCGGTACAAAACCCAACGATATAAATATCACTTTGTTAAAAAACAAAATGGGGGAGGGAAACCAACAAAAAAACCCCAAATCAACAAAAACAGGGGGAGAGGGCCAGGGTGGACCCCAAATCAGTAGTGTGGTGGAGGGGACTGTAGTTTTGGGGACCACTTCCCCCATGGAGATGTAGGGGGGGCCACATCACAGTGCCCGATGGGGTTAGAAAAAGGGGTTAAAAGAAACAAAAAGGGAGGGAAATGCCCCAAAATGGGTCCCAAAGGGAGGGGGTACTGGGGTGAGGCCACTGTAGCCCAAGTCTCTGACAGGAATGGGAAAGAAGGGGAGCACCAGGATGAGCCCCCCATCCCCCAAAATCTCTGCCTGGGGGAGGGCACTGGGATGAGCCCCTGCACCCCCAAATCTCCAGGATGATGCCCCCCCTCCAACCTCCAGATCTCTGCTGGGGGGGGCCACGGCACTGAGTGCCCCCCCCCAGCTCAGTAGTACAACTTGGGAGGCCGGCGCTCCTTGCCAGCACCCCACCAGTTACGTCCCAGTGCCACTCCAGTTCAGGGGTGCCAGTGAGGAGGAGGAGGCCGGGGGGGTCTCCACCCTCCACAGGGGAGTCTCACCGAAGCCGGTGCTGCCGCATGAGGGGGACGATGCAGGCTGGGGGCCCCGCGACCCCCAGGAAGGGGTGTCGGAGCAGCTCCGGGGCGCTCGCCCGCTGCGCCGGGTCCCGCACCAGCATCCGCTCCAGGAACCCCTTGAGGGAGGGTGACACCTGCAGGGGGGGAGTAGAGGGGGATCAGACATCCCAGGGATCCCCTGAGAGTGGGGACCTCCCCTCTCCAAGTTACCTTGTGGCCGTTCTTGAGCCGGGGGGGGAGATTGTCGCGGATCAGCTTCATGGCCTTGAGGGGGGGCTCGTTGAAATAGGGGGGCTCCCCGTCCACCATCTCAATCACCATCACACCCAGCGACCAGATGTCCACCTGGTGGGGGGCGGGGCACCAAAAAAAGGCAAGGGGGCTTAAAGGGGAGGCCACCTGGAGCTCCTCAAATCCACCCTGTGTACCCCTAAACCCACCCTAAACCCTGTGCCCACCCCATAACCCCCTAGCCTCACCTCTGGGCTGTAGGACAGGTGGGAAATGAACTTCACATTCCACACAGACACCCCAAACACCCCCAAAACCCACTCTGTGCCCCCCAAATCCACCCCCAAACCCACCCTGTGCCCCCAAGCCCACCCCATAGCCCCCCAGCCCCACCTCTGGGCCATAGGGCAGGCGGGAGATGAGCTCAGGGGCCATCCAGTATGGAGTCCCCACCAGAGACTTGCGCCGTGGCACCTCCTTGTTCACTTGGGCGCAGAACCCAAAATCCGAGAGTTTCACCTGCGAATGGAGTCGGAGGTGGTCGGGGCTGGGGACAGGGAGGGCTAGGGGATTCGGGGGGTGTTTTGTGGGGGGAGGGAGGCTGTACCCGCCCGTCGTGCGTGAGGAGGATGGAGTCGCTCTTGATGTCGCGGTGGATGACGCCCTGGGCGTGGAGCACGGCGAGCGCCCGCAGCACTGACAGGCACACGGCCGCGATCTGCTCCTCCGTCATCCTGCACACGGGGGGAGGGGGGTCAGGGGGACGTGGGGGAGCACAGGAGGCATCCAGGGAGAGGGAACCAGGGGTACCTGGTGTGGGTGACGATGTCGGTCAAGGCACCGCCCTCCAGGAACTCCATGACCACCCAGAGCTCGTCGCCCACCAGGTAACTGTTGTACATCTCCACCACGTTCTCGTGCTGGTAGTCCCGCATGATCACCACCTGCGAGGTGGGGGCACCCAGAGCTGGGACCCCTGAGACCCACCCAGCACTGCCGGAGGGAGCTCCGGGGGGTCCCCTCTCCCCTCACCTCATTAAAGAGGAGCTCCCGCCGCTGCTGCTTGCGCAGGTCCATCTTCTTGACGGCCACGAGCTTGCCGGAGCCGCGCACGGTGGCGATGCACACGATGCCCGTGGAGCCCTCCCCGATCTTGATGAAGTTGTCCAGGTACGTGCGGGGGTCCCCGGGGTCCACCACCATCTGCAGCGCCGCCCGGAACTGCTCATGGGAAACGCGCTGGGGCCCCCCCGGGGCAGGCGGGGGCCCGGGGGGCCGCACAGCGGGAGGGTCTGGCCCAGGGGGCGGTGGGGGCTCTGGGGCCTTGGGGCGTGGGGGGCCAGGGGCGTGGGAGGAAGAGGAGGAGCCGGGACCGCCGGGGCCACCAGTGGGGACTGGCCCGTTGGGCGTCACCTCCTGTGGGCGTCCCGGTCGATGCTCTGCCTGCGGGAAGAGGGGGACAGAGGGGTCAGCCCCCCAAAATCCCATGGGATATGCGCCCGGAGTGCTGGGAGCCAACACTGTGGCCTCCAGCCAGAGGCCAAAGGAAAGGTCTGAGTGAGGAAGAGGAAGGTGCTCTGGAGCCAAGGATGCAGCACCGGGAAGGACAGGGCAGCTGCAGAAGCCTTTGGCATGGCCCGATCCCCACCGGAGCATGGGAGCTGCGAGAAAGAGGAGCAGAGAGGACACTTCCAAGGAGGAACAGGAAGAAGCAAAGCGAAGAAGAGGATGACAGAAAAGAAAGGTGCTCTGCTGCCAAGGACATGGCACCAGAGAAGTGGTGGATTCCAGTGCAGCCATGAGAAAGAGCACGAGAGGAACCAGTTCCAAGGAAGAAGAGAAAACTGAGAGTGAGGAAAAAGAAAACGAAACTGCTGTGATGCCAAGGACACGGCACCAGGAAGGGAAGCAGGTGGATCCCACCGGAGCCATGAGGAAGAGGGCCAGAGAAGCTGCTTCCAAGGAGGAAGAGGACAAGCAGTGAGGAAGAGAAAAAAAAAGAAAGCTTCTCCGGTATCAAGGACATGGCACTGTGAAGGGAAGCAGGTGGCCTTTGGCACACACTCACCCCGCTGGAGCCGCGAGGAAGAGGAGCAGAGGCACGGCTCCCGAAGAACAAGAGGAGGATGAGGAACAGGAGGAAGAGCCTGGGGCGGGACCCCCCTTTACCTGGGTGGGGGGGCCCCGGGCGGGGTCGGTGTCAGCGCGGGGGTAGGTGTGGAAGGGGCGTCCGGGCTGCGGCGCCGTCTTCGGCCCCGCTCCGGGAGCACCGGGAATGTCGGGGGGCCGCAGGTCAGGCCCCGAGAGTGGGCGCTGCTCGCGGGCGGGGGGCCGGGGGGGCCCCTCGCCAGCCGAGCTGGACTTGGGGCGCTTCTCCTCCCGCCGCAGCCCCCCGGGGGCGGGCGCGGTCGAGGGGTCCCGCTCGGCCACACCTTTGGGGGGTCTCGGCTCCGGCTCCCCCCGGCCCCCCCGACGGCTCTTGCCAGGGGGGGCCAGGCCATTCTCTGGGCACGGGGGGGCCCGGGGTGGGCAGGGGGGGCTGTCCCGGCGCAGGGAGTTGGAGCGGGACACGGACACGGCCTCCAGCTCGTCCAGGAGCCACGCCAGGGTCCCGTCCCGGCCCCCGGGCGTCCCATCCCGGGGGGCCTTGGAGCCGCGAACAATGGGCTGTGGGGAGGGGAGGGGGAACAGAACACAGGGAAAACGAGGAGAAAAGGGGAAAAAACAACAAAAAAATGAAATGGAATGGTGAGGGTGGGAGAAGGGATAGGGGCGATGGACAGGAAGGAATGGGGGGACACAGTAGGATGGACAGGGTGGGGGGGTGAGCAGCAAGTGTGGGGGAATGGGGGATGTGGGAATGGAGAGGTCCTCAATTTGGGGCTTCAAAAAATTAGACTTAAAATAATTGGAAAACACAGGATGGGGGAGGGATCAGGTGGGAATGACCCCGAGCTCCTGTAGGATGGGCTTGTTCCAAGTGTGGGGAGGGTTATCAGGTGGGTAGTCCCTATCCTGGGGGTCCCTACTGCTCCCTCACCAGCTCCAGGACACCCCAGGTAGGGGGCATGGACCCAAATTCCCCCCACTTTGGATTTTTGGTCCTAAAGAGAGGGCAGGAGCCACTTCCCTGCTCCATCACCCTCCAATTTCCCCCTGCCTGCCCCAAAGAGGGGTTGGGGACCCAACCGCCACTCCCCTGCTCCGAGACCCCCTCCCCTGGCAACCCCGACCTTGTGGGGGCTGTGAATGGCACCCTGAACCCCTTCCCTGACAGCACAGACCGTGGACGATTCCCCAACACCCCCAAGCATCCCCTCTGTTTTGGGACCCCACAAATGGTTCCCCAACCCCCGTCAGGGATTCCCCCCACCTTTTGAGGCCTTCATACGGTTCCTGAATTCCCCCCCATTTTGAGACTCAGAGTTGGTTCCTGAATCCCTTCCCCCCCCGGGCCCCCCCTCCGTTTTGGGGCCCAGGGCCAGTTGCCCACCTTTTGAGGGGCGCGGATGGCAGTGATGCAGGCGGGGTCCACGAGGGGCTTGGGGCGCCGGGCCGACTCCTCGAGCAGCCCCTGCCACTGGCGGGGCAGCCCCGTGAAGCGCTGCTCCGACGGGTCGTACCCCGTGTGCACCCGGTGCTCGAAGTTGGACGGGGCCGAGATCTCCACCCGCTTCTTCTTCTTGGAGAACATGGCGAGGGGGGGGCACCTGGGAATCAGGGGGGAAAAGGGACAGGTGAGAGGGACACCTGGGAACTGGCGGGGAGAGGTGAGTGGGACAGCTGGGAATGGGGGGGGACATGGAACAGGTTCACTGCCATCCCACAGTTCCAGCTGGGAAGGTTTGGGGAATGTGATCCCATTAATCGTCACCGAATCCCTCTCTGGGAACGGTCCCAAAATCCCAGGGATTTGGACTGGATCTGGTTTTCCCACTTTTGCTGCTCCTGGGGGCCGATCTCCTGCTATTTCCCTCCTTTTTTTCCATCTGCTCCCACAGGCTCAATCCTGCCTCCCAGGCTCTGGAATTCTGCTGCCTCAAAATCTTTCTCTCCGTTCTTCCCAATTTTTGAGGTTTTTCTTCTCAAGCCTCTCATCCATCGTGCAAGTTTTTCTCCTCTTCCACTTCCATGTTGCTCAAAATTTGCTGGAATTTTGCATATTCCCTGTTTTCCCTGCTCATCCCGGGCTGATCCCTCCTTCCATCTTTCCAGGATCCTCTCTGAGTTCCCAAAATCTCGTTTCTGGGTGGAAAATCCTCCTGGATTGTGGAAGTAATGGCCAAATTCAGAGTGGGGCGATTAACACCCACTGGGTTTGGGTTTCTCCTGCTGAGTATTCCACGGGAAAGATTCCCAGAGGAACTGGCTGCAGCATCCCGTGCCTCTAGACACCAAATCCATGTGATTTCATCCCAAAAAAATCCTTTTTTGGGGCTGGTGGGGGAGGAAAACCAGCAGCCCTGGGGGGGCGGGCTGAGGGATCCTGGGGCATTCCAGAGGGTGGGATGTAGGTCAGGGGGAGGTTAACCCTCCACCACATTCCTCAGCCTTTTACAGGTCACATTCCCTAGATCCCGCTGTGTTTAATTAGTCACCAATTAATGAGGAACTGACTCAACACACGGGGTGGAACGTTCTCATATTTCCCTCCAAATTCCCCCCAAACCAGTGCTGTTCTTGCTGTATTCAGGTGGGAATTGTGGTGGCACCTCCAGTATAAAAATTAAAGGGAAAAATAACAGGAATAAAAGGTGCAAAGAGGTAATTCCTGCCCTTCCCAGAAACCCTAAATCTTTTTTCAAAACCAGCCATCGCAGTGGAAAATCCCTGAGCCGGCTTTTCCTTCCACAAAATCGTTTTCCTGGTGCCAGCAGGGGTAGGAAGAGACGTGAATCTCTGCAATTTTCCATTTTCCACAAAAAAAAATCCACCTCAGCAGCACCTTGGGATCCTCGGGAAGAGGCTCCTGAAGAAGGTGTGGACGGATCAAAGCTCATCGAGAAGCCCTGAAAACTCCCGGAATTCCACGGCAACCAGTGAAGGTTACGTTTTCCTGACCTGCACCGATCATCCTGAGGATTCCTGGAGCTCCCTCCCAGCTCCGGGATCGCACCTGATATCCCAAATCCCAGCCAGCCCTGCCAGGGGCGGGTTGGGAGGCGTCACTCCAGGTGTTGTTTTCCTTAAATAAAACCCCGGGAAGGAAAGCGGCACCGGGCGGGTCCCATACCTGGGACAAATCCCACGATTCCCCCCATGGGGTCACATTCCCGGGGCCGGGAGGGCGGAAGGACGTGGCTGGGCTGTTCCGGAGGGTTCCGGAGCCGTGCCGGGAAGGGCGGGTTGGACTGGAAGGGCTGGATCTGCTGGGAGGGGGAGGAGGAAGAGGAGAAGGAAGAGGAGTAGAGGTGTTCAAAAACCTCAGAAAACCAGCCCCGAGAAGAATCCTGGAATTCCAGGAATCCGGTGACCCCTGTGGAGGCCACACAAAGTCAAAAGGGATTTGTTTCCTTCCTTAAAGGAGAACTACCCGGAACTGGGACATAAAAGGTTCTGGGAAGGGGATCAGCAAGTTCCAGGGACTGCTGGGAAAGTAGGGAAGGGAGAAAGAGGAGGGGGGAAGAAGGAAGGGAGGGAAGGAGAAGGAAGGAGCAGAAAAAGGAGAAAGGAAGAAAAAAAATGAAAGAACAAGAAGAGGAAAAGGGATGAAAAAGGGGGAAAAGAAAGAAAAAGAGAAAAAAAGAAGGGAAAAGGTGGGAAAACGAGAATGAAAAAGAAGGAAAAGGGAAAAGTAACAAAAGAGAGAAAAAATAAAAGGAGAAAAAAGAGGAAAAGGAAAACAGGAAAAAAGAAGAAAAAGAAGGAAACTGGGAAAAGGAGGAAGGGAATTTCTGGTGCAATTTGTCTCCTTTCCCACAGCAGGAAGTTTCCTCTGAGTTGTTCCTGAGGAATCCAGGGAATCCCAAATCCCCAAGCTTGGCCTATTTTTTTCCTCCTTTTCTTTGGAGGGGCAGTGATGGGAACACCGAGAAGACATCGGGAACAGTGATTTCCCTCCCCAACTTGTAGGAAAACCCCCTGGTTTTGAGGAGCCGGGACATTCACGAGGATTCCCAGTGTCCGGAATTCCTGACTCAAATCTGCAGGAAACGCTGGAAAAATCCATCTGAGGCTCTGGATAGAGCAAGTGGAGGAGACCCCCCATGAGGACGGGATGAAGAATTCCAAGGAATTTCTGGATCTGTTTCCTACCTGCCAGGAAGGGGAAACTCTCCCACCTCAGCTCTGCATTCCGGACCCTCCGGGAAAAGTGCTGCATGGAAATAATGGAACTCCCTCAAGATCAGTCCCAAACCCCCACTTTGGTGACTTTCTAGGACAAGGGAGAGGGGCGGGGGTAGAGCCGTATCCAGACTTTCTGGAATTCCAGGACCCCTCCGAGGATTTGGGAAGCCCCGAATTGCCCCTCAACAAACCCCCCCCCCCAAATCCATTGCCTCTCTCACCCCAAAATTCCTTCGCCCCGGGGGTCCTTCAAACCCTCCCTGAGCCCTCCAAACCCCTCTCTCAGGGGCCCAAATCCACCCTTTAGGCTCCCAAAATCCCCCTCTCAGCCCCCTAAATCCGCCCTTCAGCCCCTCAACACCCCCTCAAATCCCCCCTTCAGCCCCCCCTCTCAGTCCCCCACATTCCCCTCTAGCCCTCTCAAATCCTCCCTTGGGCCCCCCAGGTCCGCCCCAATCCCTCTCAGAGGCCGCTCGGTGTCTCTCCGACCCCTCCCTGTCCCTACAGACCCCCGGTTTCCCCCCATTCCCCCCGGCCCTCACTCGGCCGCCGCCGCCATGTTGCGATCGAGACACATCCGGGTCCTCCCCTGCCCGCGTCGCCGCGGCGACAGACACCGCCCTCGGGGCGGGATTGGGGCTAATGCGCCCGGTATGGACACGGAGGGGCGGCCTGAGCTACGGCGGGACCGAATGGGGCTGAGAAGGTGGGGTTTAACGAGGGAGAGACGGAGTTCAATGCTGAAGGAGGGGGGCTTAAAGAGGAAGAGATACTCAACGTGCGGCCAGGGCGGGATTAAAAGGGAGAGCGGCCAATCGCGGAGCAAGCGGCGGGGATTGGCATCGCGCTGCCGAATCGGATCGCGATGCCCTGGAAGCCGGATTGGATGGCGGCGGTGTGAGGGGAGCGCTCCTGGGGCACCCCCGGGCGGCTTTGACCGTGTGTTCTCCTCCCCTCAAAACCCCCGGAGATGCCGCTCCGCGCCGTGCTCAGGGCCGCGGCCTCGCTGCGCCGCTGCGGTGCGTATTTATTCCCCCCAAAACCAGCCCGTCCCCGGGCATCCCCCCCGACAGCCCCCCAAACAAACCCGCCCCCGCAACCCACTGACCCCTCTCTGTGTTCTCCCTCGCTTTCCATCCCCCACTGACCCCTTTTCCGTGTCCGCCCGCAGGTCCAGGTCTGTCACTCCCCACCACCGCCACCCCCCTCCTCCTCCCCGCTCTCCCCCCGCCGCCCCCTAGACCCGCCCCCATGGCCACGCTGAACCAGATGCACCGCCAGGGCCGCCCCAAGTCGCCCCCCCGCAAACTGGGGCCCACCCAGGGCCGCCCCCAGATCAAGGGAGTGGTGCTGAAGAACCTGATTCGCAAGCCCAAGAAGCCGAACTCCGCGAACCGGCGGTGCGTGCGGGTGCGGCTCAGCACGGGCAGGGAGGTGGTCGCGTTCGTGCCCGGCGAGGGGCACAACCTGCAGGAGCACCACGTGGTGCTGGTGCAGGGCGGCCGCACCCAGGACCTGCCCGGCGTCAAACTCACCGTGGTCAGGGGCAAGTACGACTGTGCCCACGTGCAGAAGAAGAAATGAGAGTGGGGCACACCCCCTCGGGGACCGGGCGCGGGAGAAGCTGCGCCGGGCAGCGCGTAGCGAGAATTAAAGGCGATTTGTGGTGCGGGAGTTGTGCTGTTGGAGTCGTGTTGGGGGCAATGGGGAGGGGGTTGGAGGGGTAGGGGTGGTGGGAAGGGTCGTGGGAGCACTAGAAAGGGGTCTGGGGATCTGGGGACACTGTGTAGAGTCGTGGGGGGACCTTTGGGCACGGGGGGAAAACTGGGGACCCGGGGGTGGCAGCTCGGGGCACTGGGGGTGCTTTGGGGGTCCTGCGAAGTCACCGGGGGGTCACCGACCACCGGGCCAGCCGGGAGGGGGCGTGGCCAGAGCGCTCGGCGCGCGCCCGAACTCCGCCCGTTCCGCCACGTGACCCTACGTGAGCACGGTGCCGGGTGCCCAAGATGGCGGCGCGCAGGGCGCTGCTGGCGGCAAGGGGGGCCGTGGGGCGCGGCCGGCGGGGGGCGGCAGCTGGGGGCCGGTGCCGCCGCTCCCGGTGCCGGTTTGGGGGCGCGGGGCGGAGCCGCCTGTACGAGCACGTGCGCGAGGGCCTGAGCGCGCGGCCGCAGCTCGACGTGACCGCGCTGAACGAGAGCGACGTGGAGCGGCGGCGCGGGCCGCTGGGGGCGCTGAGCTGCGCGAGATCGTGAGGGAGGGGCCGTCCGGGGGCGGGGTGGGAGTGCGGGCGGGGCTTTGACCGGAGTTGGGCTGTGAGGGGCGGGGCCGGCGCGTGGTGGGCGGGACTTAATGCGAAGGAGCGGGGCCCGCTCGAAAGGGGGAGTGGGGGGTGTGGAGCCCCTCCGGGCCGATGGGGAGGGGGATCTTTGGGGGGGCGTCCACCTTAAACACGCCCTCCCCTCGTATCCCCCAAAAGGTGCAGGTGTGGTCCCGGCTGGGGCAGGTCCGGGATGGCATCGCCCGCCTGGAGGCCGAGAAGGGGCAGGTGGCCCAGGGGGTCCGGGAGCTCATGGTGAGACCCCCGGAACCCCCGAGAACCCTCACTGCATCCCCCAGTTCTGCCTGGGATCCCAGCGGGTTACCCCAGCCCCACTCTGCTCCCCAGAACCTCCCCAGGATCCCCCAGTTCCCCCTAAGACCCACCAAGGCTCCCCACCCGGGTACCCCTGATCCCCCTTCTATCCTTCCCAGGACCCCCTGGTTCCCACCGGTGCCCACTCAGTTACCCAGACCCCCACAGAACTGCCTCTCTCTCTCTCCCCCCAGGCATCCCATGACAAGGCGACGGTGGAGTCGGTAGGAACAGGGTTTGAGGGGGCTGAGGGAGGGAGCGGGGACAACCCCCATGCTCCCCCTATGCACCCCTAAACACGGCCCCCCCGCAGCTCCCGGCGTACGCAGCGCTGCGGGCGCGGGGCCGGCAGGTCCGGGGGCAGCTCCGGGAGCTCGAGGCCGAGGAGTCCGACCTGGAGCAGAGGTTCTACCTGGGGGCCCTGCAGCTGCCCAACTGCACCCACCCTGCTGTGGTGAGCCCAAAACCGCCCCAGACACCCCCTGCAGCTGCCCAACTGCACCCACTCTGCTGTGGCGAGACTGGGGGGCTCCTGATTCCCCCCCCAACCCCTCCTGTACCCCCCCAGCCCGTCGGGGACGAGAGCCAGGCCCGGGTGCTGGAGGTGGTCGGGGAGAAACCAGGTACAGGGGGAAGTGGGAAGGAAGGAGGAGGAGAAGGAGGGTTCTGGGGAAAAAAGAGCGTCCTGGGGAGGTGGGATGAAGACACTGGGAAGGCCCCAGGGTGAGGAAGAGGAGGGTCTGCGGGGAGGAGACGGGTCTAGGGAAGGGTGAGGAGGGTCTGGGGAGTGGGGAGAAGGGTCTGGGGTGATGAAGGTGACAAATTTCGCCCCCCCTCCCTCCCCAGTGTTTGACTTCAAACCAAAGGGACACCTGGAGCTGGGGGAGGGACTGGACATCATCCGGCAAAGGTGAGAGAGCACCTGGGGGGACACGCATCTGTCCCATGTCACACCTGTCCCATCTGTCACGTGTCGCACGTGTCCCACATGTGTGCCCCTCCTGCAAATGCCTGTCCTACGTGTCGGGCCATCGCTCCTATTACCTGTGCGGGGTGGGGACACCGCCCCAGGTGTCACACACATGTCCCACACGTGTCCCCCTGTCCCAGGCGCCTGTCCCACGTGTCGGGCCATCGCTCCTATTACCTGTGCGGGGCTGGGGCGCTGCTGCAACACGCACTCGTCTCCTACACCTTGGGGAAGCTGCTGCCCAAGGTACAGGGGGCTCGGGGGCGGTTCAGGAGGATCCAGGGAAGGTCTGGTCAGGCCCCACGTTCCCCCTGATGACCCCCCTTTCCCCCAGGGCTTCCTGCCCATGACCGTCCCTGACCTGCTCCGAGGCGCCGTTTTTGTGAGTGACCCCCCGTACCCCCAACCCCTCTGACCCTCTGGGACTCCCCCTGACCCCCTGTGACCCCCAGGAGGGCTGTGGGGTGCAGCCCAGCGCCACCCCCTCCCCCGTTTACACCATCGACCCATCGCGCTTCGAGGATCTTTGCCTGGCTGGGACCTCGGAGGTGGGAATTGCAGGTGGGAAATTGGGCAAAATGAAGGGGAAAAACAGGGGAAAAGGGTGGGAAGAGGGAGTGCAAACGGGTTTGGGGGGCTCCCTGTGCCCCCTGGCCCCCTCAAACTCACCTTCTGGCCCAGGGTATTTCATGGACCACGCGGTGCAGCTGCAGAACCTGCCCGTCAGGTACTGGGGAGGTCTCCCCCCACTCCAGCTCCCCCTTCCCTTTTGGAGTCCCCTCACCCCTTCCCAGAGGGTCCTGGGCGTTTGGGGGATTCCCCCTGACACCCCCTTTCCTCCCCCAGGGTCGTCTGCTCCAGCACCTGCTACCGTGCCGAGACCGACACGGGGCGGGAGCCGTGGGGGCTTTACCGTGTCCACCAGTTCACCAAGGTACTGGGAGCATTGGGAGGCCCCCCCAGAGGGTGCAGGAAAAGGGGAGGTCAGCCCTGTGTGCCCCCCACAGGTGGAGATGTTCGGGGTGACGGCGGCGGAGCACGGGAGGGAGAGCGAGGATCTGCTGGCCGAGTTCCTGGGGCTGCAGAAGGAAATCTTCTCGGAGCTGGGGCTCCATTACCGGTGAGGGGGGTTTTGGGGGTGTCCCCTCTCTGTATGTCACCAAAAAATCCCTTGTGACACCCTTAATTGCTCCCACCGCCTGCAGGGTCCTGGACATGCCCACGGAGGAGTTGGGGCTCCCTGCATACCGCAAGTTCGACATCGAGGCCTGGATGCCTGGACGGGGCAAATATGGGGAGGTGAGAGGGGACCTGGGGGGACATGACCCCAGAATTCCAGGAGCATCCCAATACTTTGCAGGTGATCCCCCCTCACAGCATCCAAGAGCAGAGACTCTCCTGTTTTATGGGACAGATGAAGAGTTCCCCCCATTTTTATGGCAAACCAGGAGATTGACCCCCATTTAGGGGGTCCCTGGACTGAGGGGGGGGTGTCCCCCAAAACCCTCAAAACTCTCTTTTTGAGCCCCCTCACCCCCCCAGATCTCCAGTGCTTCCAATTGCACCGACTACCAGAGCCGGCGGCTGAACATCATGTACAGTGACGGGCAGGGCCGCCTGCGCCACGCCCACACGGTGGGTCCCCGAGCCCTGTGGGGGCCCCCAAAACCCTGTGGGGGCCCCCAAGCCCCTCTAAACCCCCTGACCCCTCCAGGTGAACGGCACAGCCTGCGCCGTGTCCCGGATACTCATCGCGCTCCTGGAGAGCAACCAGCTGCCGGTGGGTTTTGGGGGCCTGGAGGGCGGACCCCAGGGCGAATCGGGGGTGCAGGGAGGGCTCACTCCACCCTGGTCCCCCTCATCCCCCAGGACGGCCGTGTCCGTGTCCCCCCCGTCCTGCAGCCCCTGGTGGGGCAGGAGGTGCTGTCCCCGCCCCCCGTGCCCCTCCTGTGCTACATTGGCCCCAACCAGCCTGGGGGGGGCCCTGGAGGGGACCCCAAAAACAGGGCAGACACGGGGGAGGCTCCCTGAGGCGAGGGGAGCCCTGGAAGCACCACAAGGGCAGGAGTCAGACGAGAGCACAGATGGACGTGGACTGATACGGGACGTACGCGGCACCAGACAGACGTGATGCGCAACACGGGTCACGCGTGGGACAACCCCCGGTCTGTGTCCTCCACGGTAACAAGCCCTGAAATAAAGTCTTGGACCCCCTCCCACCAGCGGCAGCCCACGGGCACGCACCTGTCCGTGCCCCCGGGGCGCTCTGGGCACACGCGCCAACCCCACAGTGGGTGCACACACTTGTCCCCCCCCACACGTGTGTTCTCTGCACACACACACGTCCCAGCACACGTGTGTCTCTTCTCTCTTTTATTTCTCCTCATCCCCCCCAGCTGCTCATGGCCCTCCTGGGCCTAGGGGTGGGCCGGGGCAGCTTTGGAGGCTCCTCCACGACAGGGGGGTGGGGGAAGGACGCCCGAGTCCATGGGAGGGGTTCCAGGGGGCCCCTCAGTCTGGGCAGCGCCCACTGTTGATGACAATGTCGTCGTACTCCTCCTGGGGGAAGGACGCAGTTTGAGACGGCTGCAGGAGTTTGGGGGGGCTGCCATGAGCCCCTCCAGCTTACGAAAGGAGCCCAAGGGGTTTTGGTGGGGGGTCACTGACCTCGCTGTCCTCAGCCCCCCCCTCGCTGTTGCTGTCATCACTGTCGCTGTCGCTGGGGGGGTCCCTGGCCCCAAAGCGCCGCAGCAGGGGGGGCAGGCGGGGGTCCGGGCGGCGCCGGGCACTGTACAGGGGGGTGTACCCCGAGAACGTGCGGGGGTCGGGATTGGCCCCCCCCCGCAGGAGGCACTCGGCCACCTCAGGGCTCTGCGCCTCCACGGCCAAGTGCAGGGGGCTGCGGCCGCAGCTCGGCTCCTGGGGGGCACGGCGGGGTCAGGGGGAGCTCAGGGAGGCTCGAGAACCCCCCAGCCCAGTTCGGGGGGCACCCACCGGCCGGTTGGGGTCGGCGCCCGCGTGTAGCAGCAGCTGCACCAGCTCCAGGTCCCGGCGCAGGACGGCGACGTGCAGGGGGGTGTAACCTGGGAGGGTGTTAAAGGGGAGTCAGGGGGGTCCCCAAACCCCAGGGGGGCCACCAAAACCACGAGCTGTGTCACCGTGTGACCCCCCTACCCCAAATTGTGTTGCCAAACCGCATTCCCAACTTCCCACACAGCCCCACAGTGTCCTGCCCCCCCCATATCCAACCCCAGTCCATCGTGTTCCCCCCAAAACCGTGTGCCCACCCCAACAAAACCACGTTCCCATGGTATTCTACCACTCCCTATCCTGTCCCCCCCACCAAAACTGTGTCCCCACAGTATCCCTCCCATCCTTTGTCATGCCCCCCACCCTCTGCTGTCCCTTTCAAGCCCATGTCCCCAGTGGCCCCACCCCAGGTCCCCCCTCACCGTCATAGTTGACGCTCTCCAGCTGCGCCTGCAGCTCCTCCTCCTCCTGGGGCTCTGGGGAGGTCCCCGCTGTGCCCTGCGGCTCCGGGGGGCTCTCCGGGGGCTGCCGGGGCTCAGAGGCCGCTCCCGGGAGCCCCTCCAGGAGGGCACGGGCGCAGGCGGGGTGCCCCTCGCGGCAGGCGAGGTGCAGGGGCGTGTGCCCCCCCCGCTCCCGCACGCAGAGCCCAGCGCCCGCCGCCCGCAGCCGCCCCACAGCCCCAGCCAGCCCCAGCACCACCGCGATGTGCAGAGCGCTCTGGGGGCGGGGGGGGCACGGCGTGAGCCCCAAAGCACCCCCAAAAACACCTCCAAAGACATCTCAAACACCCCCCAAAACCACCCCCAAAAATGCCACCACACAGACTCCAAAGAACCCCACCCCGGCTGCCCTGGCCCTACCGCGATGTGCAGAGTGCTCTGTGGGCGGGGGTGGAGGGGGCATGGGATGAGCCCGGGGCCCCCCAGAGCAGCTGCACAACCAAACCCACCTGGTGCTGCTGAGACTGGGGGGGCCCAAAATTTCCCCAAACACCCCTTGGGCCGCCCCACAGCTCCCCCACCAAACACAACCCCGGAGAGGCTGGGGGAGTCCCAAAGCTCCCCAACTTCCCCCCAAACACCCCTGCAGCCCCCCCACCTGCCCCAGGTCGTTCTGCAGGTCCAGGTAGGGGGAGCGCTCCGTGTGCCGCAGGATGGACTCCAGGAATTCTTCGTGCTCGTGGATCACGGCCAAGTGCAATGCTCTGCGGGGGGAAGAAAGGCTTGGGGGCGGGAGGCCCAAAAAGGTAGGGGAAGGGGAGGGCACAGATGAGGGTACGGGGATTGAGGGGACCCCGCGGGGGGCCGAAGGGGTCCCTGGGGGGGGGTTCGCAGGGCAGGAGCCCCTGTCAGCCCCCCACTCCAAGAGTCGGGACCCCCCAACCCCAGGGCTGGAGGGGTCCCGGGTCCCTCCTACCCCCGCCCCTGCTCAGCACCCACGTGTCGCCGTCCTCGGTGACGAAGCTCAGGACGTGCCGCAACCAGGCCGAAGGGTCCGCGGGGGGCTCGGGGGGCTCCGGACCGGGGCTGTCGGGCAGCGGCTGCCCCAGCGGCCCCTCGCCCAGCGAGCCCAGCCCGCTGTCGCACCACTCATCGCCCTCGGGCCGCTTCGCCTCGCCGGGGGCCGGCGGGGCCGCGGGGGCCGCGGCCGCCATCGCCGGGGCCACCTCAGGCCGCCATCGCCGGGGCCGGGGCCGCCTCAGGCCGCCGCCGCCATCGCGGGCCGGGGAATCCCCGCCGGGCCCCGCTTCCGGGGCACGCCGGGAAACGGGGGCGGCTCAGCCAATCAGCGCCGCCCGCGCGGGCACGCCCGGCGCTGCGCGCGCTGCACGCCGGGAGGTGTGGCGGAGCGGCCGCGCGCTGCACGCCGGGAGGTGTGGCGGGGCGGCCGCGCGGTGCACGCCGGGAGGTGTGGCGGAGCGGCCGCGCGGTGCTCGCCGGGAGGTGTGGCGGAGCGGCCGCGCGCTGCACGCCGGGAGGTGTGGCGGAGCGGCCGCGCGGTGCACGCCGGGAGGTGTGGCGGAGCGGCCGCGCGCTGCACGCCGGGAGGTGTGGCGGAGCGGCCGCGCGCTGCACGCCGGGACGGCCCATGGCGGACCCGGAAGGTACCGGGGGTGGTCGGGCTGGGACGGGACGCCCTTCAGTCGCCCCCCTCAGCCGCCCCTGCAGACACACCCGTATTGCTTCCGCAGGTCCCGGTGCCTGCGGGGAAGAGGCGGAGCGGGACGAGGAGTCCCCGGTGAGCGGCTGGAGCCCCCCCACGGTGACCTTTGGTGACACTTTGGGGACTCCCCCGGTGTCCCTTTGACGACCCCCCCGTGACCCTCCCGCTCCCCCACAGGTCTCGGACCCCGAGCCGGGCGCTTCGGCCGACGCTGACAGTGGGTCTGGGATTTCCCGGGGAGGGTGGTCCGCGGGCTCATCCTTATGGCGATACTTATGGGGCTTTTGGGGACTCTTCGGGAACACTTCTGAGGGTTTTGGGGACACTGTGGGGCCCTAGGGGACATTATGGAGCTTTTGGGCATCCTCTGCGGACATTCATGGGGCTTTTGAGGACATTAAGAGGCCTTTGGAAACAGTCGTGGGGTCCTTGGGGATCCTTTGGGGAAATTTATGGAGCCCTCGGGGACACTTATGGGGCCTTTGAGGACCCTTTGGAGACGTTTATGGGGCTTTTGGGGAGCCTTTGGGGACAGTTTTGGGGCCTTTGGGGACCCTTTGGGGACGTTTATGGGGCCCTCAGGGACATTTTTGGGGCCCTTGGGGATCCTGTGGCGGATTTGGGAACACTGAGCGGCGCTGGGTATCCGGAATGAGACCCTTGGGGACTTTTGGGGGGACACTTGAAGGGGCCTTTGTGGACCCCCGGGTGCCCCCCCTGCAGTGGAGCTGCTCCGGACTCTCCTGTCCCGGACCCTCGGGCTCGGGGGAGACAAGCCCGAGCGGGTGCTGGACGAGCTGTCCCTGGACGGAGTGAGCCGGTTCCTGCGGAGCGAGCGGTGTACGAGATACCGGGAACGGGGGGGCACTGGGAACGGGGCTCTAGGAACGGATGGGGGCACTGGGAATGGCAACACTGGGAATAGATGGGGGACATTGGGAGAGAAGTGTGGGGGGAAGCTGGGTGGACACACAGTGGGAAACCAGGGGGGAACCGGCCTCGGGGGCAGTTTTAGTTGGTTATTGGGGATGGGTTTGGGATCTGACAGTGGGGGAAGGAGGAGAAGTTTTGGAGGGTATTCGGGTGTGGATTTGGGGACTCACAGTTGGGGGGAGCAGTTTTGGGGGGCGTTGTTGGGGGAGGATTTGGGGGAGGACAGTGGAGGAAGGAGGGGGCAGTTTTGGATGCCTTCTCACCTCCCATATCTCATTCCCCCAGGTAAGAACATCATCTGCATGGTGGGCGCCGGGATCTCCACGTGTGAGTGTGGTTTGGGGGGGGTGAGGGGGACATGGGGGGAACCCTGACCCCCCTGCGCTCCACCCACAGCCGCCGGGATCCCCGATTTCCGCTCCCCCGGCACGGGGCTCTACGCCAACCTGCAGAGCTATGACCTGCCCTACCCGGAGGCCATCTTTGAGATCAGCTTCTTCAAAGTACATTATCCCCCTTCCCTGTTTCCTGGGAGGTTCTGACCCTATGGGGGTGCTGAGACCCCACCCCCAGCCCCCTGAGACCCCCTTTTCCCCCACAGCAAAACCCCGAGCCTTTCTTCGCTCTTGCACGTGAGCTTTACCCAGGGCAGTTCAAGGTGAGCTCACCCGTCCCCCAACCCTCATTCCTGCGCCCCCCGAAACTCCTGGGGGGGCTACCCCTCAAAAACATGTTGGGGGGAGCTCAACTGACCCCCAAATCTCGTCCCCTAGCCCACGGTGTGTCACTACTTCATGCGGCTGCTGCAGGACAAGGGGCTGCTGCTGCGCTGCTACACCCAGGTGGGACCCCCGCATGTGAAGGGGGGAGGGGGCTGGGTGAGGTTTGGGAGACCCTGGAGGTTTTGGGGTCCCCCTGACCCTCTTCCCCCCCACCTCAGAACATCGACACCCTGGAGAGGGTGGCGGGGCTGGACCCGGAGCGGCTGGTGGAGGCTCACGGCACCTTCTTCACCTCCCACTGCCTGCGCCCCTCGTGCCGCCAACCCTACAGCCTGAGCTGGATGAAGGGTATGGGGTGTGGCTTTGGGGACCCCCTGAGACCCCCTGAAACACTCGGGATCCCCTGTGAGACCCTGGGTTGGGCACTGGGACAAGGTCAGAGTGGTCCCATCCCATGCACTTTATGGGGTCCTAACGGGAGGCTGTTCTCCCCCAGCGCCCTCCCCAGGCCCCCCAGTCTCTCTGTCCCTCCCCCATAGTGTTTGTGTGTCCCCCCCTGTCACTCCCCACTGAGTTTCCCACTCCCCTTCCTTTCCAGAGCGGATTTTCTCCTCTCTTGTCCCCAAATGTGAGAAGTGTCAGGGCTTGGTGAAACCTGGTGAGTTTGAGGGGATCTGAAGGGGCTTAGGAGGGATTTGAGGGGACATCTAAGCCCCCTCCAGTCCCTCTACTCACGGCCCACTCCCTCAGACATTGTGTTTTTCGGAGAGAGCCTCCCCTCACGCTTCTTCACCCTCCTGCAGTCGGTGAGTGGGGTGGGGGGCCCTGAACCCACCCTGAATTCGGGGGAGGGGGTAGAGGGACACCACAGTGACATCCTCTCACCCCCCCAGGACTTCCAGAAAGTCGACCTGCTCATCATCATGGGCACCTCGCTGCAGGTGCAGCCCTTCGCCTCGCTCGTCAGCAGGTGGGACTGCCCCGGCACCCCGGGACCACCCCCCGGTTCCCGTGACCGCCTCGTGACTGTCCCCTCCTGTCACCCCCACAGGGTCCCCGTCAACACCCCCAGACTCCTGATCAACAAGGAGAAGACAGGGCAGGTGAGGGGCAGGGGAGGGCCCGGGGGAGCTTGTGAGAGGCAACGTGGGGTTGAGAGGTGCTGGGGGGGAGGGAGAGGCACCTGCCCCCCCCCGTCACCCCTTTTGTTTCCCCCAGAGCGACGCCCTGATGTCCCTGATGGGCTTCGGCTGCGGCATGGACTTTGATTCGGAGAAAGCCTACAGGTAAGGGGGGCTGGGGGGTCCGTGGGCACTCCTGGACCTCCTCAGACAGTTTTAGAGACCCCCCAGGTGGTTTTAGAATCCCCCAAGGTGGCTTGGGGCCCCCCCCCAAGGTAGATTTGAGGTCCCCTCCCCTGGCCCGGATGATTTTGGTGACCCTTCCAGATGGGTTTGGGACCTCTTGAGGTGATTTGAGGCCCTCCCCGGGGGAATTTGGGGACCTATAAGGTGCCTTTGAGAACACTCAAGGTATTTTGGGACCCCAAGATGGCTCTGGAACCACAAGGTGCTTTCGTTTCCTCCCCATTGTGGCTTTGGGGACCCTCTCAAGGTGGTTTTAGAGCCTCCAGGGTGGTTTTGGGAGCCCCCCACTGTGGCTTTAGGGTCTAATGAGTTTTAGGGCCCCCCTGTGGTGTTTAAGGGCCCCCAAACTGTTTTTGGGGTCTCCAGGGTGGTTTTGGAATCCCTAAAGTGATTTCAGGCCCCTCAGGTGTTTTAGGGACCCCCCTAGGTGATTTTGGGGTCTCTCTGTTCTCCTGCAGGGACGTGGCCTGGTTGGGGGATTGTGACAGCGGGTGCCTGGCACTGGCCGAGCTGCTGGGCTGGAAGGTATCGTCACCCTGACCCCCAAATCTAGGGGGTTATCCAGACACTTGCACCCCACAACCCTACTGGGACCCTCACAAACCAAAAAACCACTGTCCCCTGCCAGGAGGAGCTAGAGGAACTGGTGAGGAGGGAACACGCCGCCATTGACGCCGGGGGAGGCAACGAGGACCGAGAGGACCCTGAAAAGTGTCGGGGGCACAAGGACAAGGAGGACCTTGGAAAGTGTCAGGAGGACAAAGACAAGGCTCAGAGGGACCCCAAAAAGCCCCAGGGGGGCAGTGAAGAACCCCTCCAGAGCGTGAGGGGGACGCCCCAAAAATAAATGGTCCAAAAAGAGTTTATCGGTTTCGTGTGGTGAATGCGGAACACGGGGGTGTCGTGGTTCAGTCCGGCCTCTGCTTCTCCGGGCGGTCTCTGCCCGCGTTCTCCACTGAAAATGTCACAGGTTCGCTCCGGGCTAATTCTTCTCTCACCCCCCACACGATTACTATAAATTGAGAGAAGGTTTATGCGGACAAAAGAGACCTGACTGGGGAGAATAATATTAGGACTTATTACTAGCAAGATATAAACTAAGGAACTATATATATATATATATATATATATATATATGTATATTGCAATTCTAATTGGGCAGAATGTATTTACAAAAATACTTCCCCCTTGGTATAAGTCGAGGAGGACCAGCAGTCTCTTTCTCCATTTCCGGAGCTCTGGGTCTTTTAAATAATTCTGCAGCACTCTAAAGTCCTTCTAGGACGGCAACTCCAATTTGTTGCAGCTGGAACTCTTTGTCGGCCTCAGAGCCGGGCCTACCCCCCTCCCGGGCTAAGACCGGAGGCTCGGGGGTTACCCGGGCCTCAAAGGGTCTTCCATGGACCGCAAAGGGACACTCGTTTACTGTGGATCTTCACCACGGGGTCACGAGGGATAATGGCTATTGAGTCCACTCCCGTTTCCCACAGGATCCCTTCCCACAGGAGAACGGTCCTGTGTCTTCGGTGAGGTGTTGACTCAGTACCTTTATTGGAGCTGCTGTTGGATGTCCCTAATTGACCTGTAAGGTCCCGGCTTTCTTCCCCGCTTCTCCCAGCTTGTCCAGGAGATGGAATTCCAGTGCTACAGTATAGATGGCTCATGGATGTTATCCCATTTGTCCAAAAGGTGTGTTCATGGATACTCATTTTCTGACAGGCACTGCAATTTTCCTGTTGCCTTTCCCAAGTTTTCCCAAGTGCTCCCACTGGGAGGGTGTTTGCAAAGAAGGGGGTAAAAGGAACTCTTGACGTGCTTTCTCTACTTCTTCATCCCACAGCATCGGCACGAGAGGAAATACCTCAGAGGGGCTGTCCTCCAGCTAAGCTCTGAATATGTCAGGAGGTTTCAGCGGGGAGAAAAGAGCCGTGGAAGAAAAGCACCCTAAACCAGTAGCCAGTGGGGATCATCGGGTTTTGCAGCCAAGAAAAACAAGGACAGAGATGAGGGAATCGGGCTCCGATTAATAATGATTTGATGGGTGTACGAATCATTCCCGGCCGTTCACAGTTCCCGCACCTGGCGCCGACCCCGCCCCCGGCTCGCCCCGCCTCTGCCCGCGCCCCCGAGTCACGCGCCCGCCTGAGGGGCCAAGCGCCATTCTGTCCCCTCCCATGAGGGACAGGCTCACGAGTGGGCAGTGAGGATGACGAGGGGCAGGACAGCCTCAGGTGTGACCAGGTCTACCCGTTCGACTCGATCACCAGGTCTATCTTTTAAATACAGACACCAGATCTACTTGCCTAAAAGAGACCAGGTCTACCCGCTAAAAGGCAACACATCTACCCTTTGGACACACACAGATCTACCCCCTAAGAGACCAGGTCTACCTTTTCGAAAGAAACACCAGGTCTACCGGCCCCTGAGGGAACGGGGGCGGGGCCGCGCGGAGGGGCCGGGCAGGGCTGGGCGGGCAGAGCGGGCGGGGCCATCCCGGTGCAGCCTGTCCTGCAGCCCCCGGGGATGTCCCTGCAGCAGTGCAAGGGGTGCGGGGAGCGCAGCAGGTGCAGCGAGCTGGGGCGGGACTGTGACCCGGGAGAGTGTGCATAATCCCCCCAAACCCGCACCTAAATCGAGCCCAAAAGGACCCCAAAGCCAAGAGCCAAACGCGGCGGGATGGTGCTGGCCCCGCCCCCCGGCTCGCACTGGCCCCGCCCCCTGGGCGCCCGGCCCCGCCCTGCCCGTCTCCAAGACCGCCGCTGTCCCCGCAGGCTCCGCCGCCGCTCCCCCTTCCCCTTGTCCCGGGAGAGCTCCCAGACGGGACGTGACCGCGGAGCTCCCCCCGCCTTTCCCCGGCCCCAGCAGCGCCCGCCGGGGCTGCGGTGGCGGCGGGAGCCGCGCGGAGGGGCCGGGCCGAGCAGAGCCGGGCGGGCAGAGCGGGCGGGGCGGGGCCGCAGGGACAGCGCGGGCTGCGATTGGACGGAGGCGCTCGAGTGCTGATTGGGCAGCCCCTGCCCGGCCCGCGCTATTCAAGGACAGGCGGGGCCGGCGCAGCTGCCGCGGTTTGAGCGGGAGGGCTGAGCGGGGGGCTGAGGGTGGGGCCGAGGGTGGGGCCGGTGCCGCTGCGGCTTTTTGAGCGTGAGGGCTGAGCTGGGGCCGCTGTGCTGGGGCCGCTGTGCTGCGCTGGGAGAGCGTCGTGTCCTCTTCTGGAACGGGCGAGCTGGGGCGTGTTTGGGGCCGTGCCGCGCTGGGCTGGGCTGGGCTGGGCTGGGCTGGGCTGGGGGGAGGAGAATGCCGTGTGCTCTGTGCTGGGGCGTGTTTGGCTGCGCGCTGTGCCGGGCTGGGGGAGCGCCGTGTGCTCTGTGCTCGTAGAACGGGGGAGCTGGGGCGTGTTTGGGGCCGCTGTGCCGGGCTGGGAGAGCGCCGTGTCCTCTGTGCTTGTGGAAGGGGGGAGCTGAGCGTGTTTGGGGCCGCGCCGCGCTGTGCCGGGCTGGGGAGGGAGAGTGCCGTGTGCTCTGGGCTTGTAGAACGGGGGAGCTGGGGCGTGTTTGGGGCCGCGCTGTGCTGGGGAGAGCGCCGTGTCCTCTGTGCTCGGGGGAGCTGGGCGGTGTTTGGGGCCGTGCCGGGCTGGGGGGGGGAGAGCGCCGTGTGCTTTGTGCTCGTGGAACAGGGTAGCTGGGGGGCGTTTGCGGGGCTGTGCTGGGCTGGGGGAAGGAGAGCGCCGTGTCCTCTGTGCTCGTGGAACAGGGGGCTGAGCGTGTTTGGGGCTGCACTGTGCTGGGCTGGGAGGGAGAGCACTGTGTGCTCTGTGCTCGGGGGGCAGAGCGCCGTGTCCTCCGTGCTCGTGGAACAGGGGGGCTGTGCTGGGCTGGGGGAGCGCCATGTCC